ATGACCTTGACCTTGATATATGTTATCAAGGTCATGACTTCGAGTGACCTTAAGGAAGTTTTAACTGCAGGACGTTACTCCTTAAAAAGTTATTAACAAAACAATTTTTAGGAATACTATGTAATTTTCGAACACATAGCTATATATTTCAGTAATATAGCGTTGTAAAGTGTATGCGTGGATGCAGTAGGTGGAGCATGACTCTCACTCCCCCCTCCTGCAAAGGGGTGCACTCAAACCTCCGACTTTCTCAAGGTCACTCGGAATCATGACCTTGATAACATATATCAAGGTCAAGATCATTGGGGAGGGGGAGCTCCCCTGATCTACATTTTTACCTCAAGGAATTGTATAATTGTCTAAAAAAAGGAACATAATTAAAAATATAGATTCATAAAGCTGAAACTTTGCTCTATCGAATGGTATAATAGCTCATTTTTTTAAATATTTTAGAATATACTGGAAAAGGAAAATCACCATTTTACAATACAAAGATGGCACCATAATGCCCATTTTCAAATTTTGAATATATGAAATTTAGAGTCAAAAAATCCTTGGAGTCTGAGTGATCCCTAGTGTACTTTAAAAGTTAATATTACGTCATAAAAAATCTGTTTTGATCATATTTCTTTTTCGAAATTGTTATGCGTAAAAAGCTCAATTGGTACACAATTGTATTGCAAAAAATTTTATTTATGATATTCATGTTAAATAAACAAACAAATTAATATAGACTTTAAATGAAGATAATAATTTTTTAATAGATACATACTTTTAACAGGGAATGGAAATAACTGGTTACTATAACTGTTGTTATTCAGTAACTTAATTAGTCATCTCATTGGAATAACGATTTGGTAATGAACTTTTTATGATGATAATGTAACACCAGAGTTGAAACAGTCAATAGTTACTTATGACGGATTGGAAAAGTCATTCGTTACTGAAAAAACTAACTCGCAATTTGTAATTCGTTACATTTTAATGTAACTTGTGGAGTAACTAACGGCGTTACACATTAGTTTTTTTTTTAATAAATAATGCATAATGATGACAATTTACTTTTTAAAGTGACTTTCCTAACCTTAGCATAACCTCAGCGTTTAGTTAATCATCATTACAGTTATAAAAAAATTGCAACATCATTATTGTTGAATTGTTATTATAAAAAGTAACTGTAAAAGTAACAGAAAAGTAACTTTTCCATTTCCTGGTTTTTAATATAAGTATTTAAAACAGTATTTTCTCAATTAAAGCAGGCCAGTGCAAAATGTATCTTACTCGCAATTCGCAACAATTCTCTTCCTCTTTGCTGGCTTAGAGCTCGAGATAGTGAGCTACACTTTCTGACTTGATCGTAACTTTCGGGTCCAAAGATAGTTCGCGAGGGACGAAAGGAAGCCGATAGCAAAATAATCCCGGTGCACCGTAGTCATCCACGATGACTTAGTACCTCCGGATTCTCTCCTCGACTCCGGGAAACTCGACCACCGCGCTTAGTTTACTTCGCAATCCCATGTGACCGATGTGACCCTCGACAGTAAACGGGTTGCTATCGACCACGGATGTCTATACATCTCTGTTATTTCGAACTAACATCCGCTATTTCTTCAATTTAGAAACTTTATTAAACCATCCAATCAATTTCATTAATATAGGGTTGACAGTGGATTATAGTATAAGATGATTAATGTTAGATAATTCAATAATGATGAATATAGCCTATTACAGCTGTCATCAATATATTCATCAAGATATTACTAATCCTTTGCAACTTTTTAATTGTAAATAAAAAAGAAAATAATTGTTTTTTAGATTCTATTAATCAATAATTTTGCAGCATTAATATGAAATGCAATAAAGTAACTAGATCTTATATGGCCTATCTAAATTTGGCGAGTTTTTAAAATTTTTGCTAAATCCAAAATTGAAAATTGATGACTAGATTCAAAAGAGGAAACACTTTTGAAAATTTAAAAAAAATATGAGACATTTTCAAATATTTATATAGGTGCAGTGAAAATTAACAAAAAGTAGCATTTAGGTTATATGTACTCAATATGGCCTAAGTGTATGTTTTCTCCTTTTTCCGTAAAAAAATGTTAGAGAAGTAAAAAATAATTCAATATTACTTTTATAAGATTTACGAGTTTATTATTAATATATTGATGTTTACTGACATGTAAGAATGTACAAAGAATTATTTTCCAAACTTATCTATTTATTTATTTATCTCCACGATGTTTAGCATTTACAATTAGATCAATTAGAGTCTATGGTCTGGAATAGTAGTAGAAAGAAAAAAAAAACATTACAATCGATATATTATATAATACATTTAGTCCCGATTTTTCATTATTTATATAACTTGTGATTAGGTTTAACCTGATATTTTATCCAATAGACTTCATCTATGATGATGTCATGGATGGAGCTCATTGGGTGAAATATCAGGTTAAACTTAATTACAAGTTAACCTGATAATAGAGAGTTTTTATAATAACGTCCAGATACGGTGAACGTTAAAGTCTCGTTATATTTTTCTTAATTAATTATTAAGAAGAAGATAATCTGATCTTAGCGTTCACCGTATCGGGATAAACAGTATTGCAAAAACTCCCTAATAAAAAACTAGGTCTTAGAGTGCCTAGAGGTTGGCCATATTAGTTCTATCTTACAAAGAATTTCTTCTCTTTGGTTATAAACAAAATTGTGGTTATAATAAAAATATAAACTGAATACAGTGTTGTAAATACAAAGCTACAATAATATGACTTATATGAAATAATATCTTAAACGGTCTAGCTGGATCTTAAGTGCTTGTATAATTCTGTATGAATTTATATATCTACTATGTACGTAGTTTCTTAAAATGCGCGCTGAAATGATTTTTCGGTTTTAAAACACAAACTCTACTAAACTACCGCATTAATATCACTAGTTAAATTGACTAGCAATTTAACAATTTAATGCTCTTACGCATCTTAAAACGAATGTGTCATTCAGCATTATTAAAATAAGTTTTTTTAAGATGCGTAAAAGCATCAAATTGTTAGTCAACTTAACTCGTGATATTACTGCGGTAGTTGAGTAGATAGAGTTTACGTTTAAGGAATTTATTTCCTATAGGTTGTTTCTCACATATACGATCCTATGAGATTTAATATTGTTTATAATATGAACTATGGAAATTAATAACCATATGTGTGGTTACAGCTAGGAAGCAATTAATTACATACGAAATATTACATCATGACAACGGCATTCTGCATTTTGCTTTACTGACAATAACGTAAATAAATTGAGCAATAAATTGATGCAATCGAGTAGGACGGACAGCTTGCACTTAGTGCTATCTGTTGAAGTCACCATGATTGGTAATTACCTACAAATAGCAAGTAGGTCATATTTGGTACTATAAGTCATATAAAAAATCCGGTTACCTTTAATAAGTTGAACATTGAGATGCATAAATATTTATTAACGCTGAAGTAAAACTTTTTTCCTTTACCCAAATTACGAATAGGATAATAATGAAGAACAATAAACTGTTAGATTCTATTAACTAGTTGTAAAGCCAGATTATTGACGTGTCTCAGCTTTCAAACTTATTGTTAGTAGATCGAAATAAGAGCCTGTGCGATAATCCAACCTGATTTTGTGAACGCTTCGAACCAAATAATTCTATATCCGAGTTAAAGTTACGTCGGTTCTTGGAAAGATAACTTTTATTCGCGCGGATCTATTTTACCCTCGATTGCTGATGAAACGCCTGCAGAAAGACTAACAGATTTGTTACGTTCAAGTAAGAGCTCTATTTACTTATTTAGAAGATACCGTCAATCACATTAAAACGCATATGCATACACATACACACACGTACAGAAATAAATTTAAAAAAAAAGAAAAAACAAAAAAGACGGCTTGGTATCGAATCGGAAGTACAAAGTAAGCTCGACCGCCGCAGCGCCCAGAACCACTAATGTGCTCGCTCGCAGCGCGGACGGCAACTTCGAGGTGACCTTGGCCACGAAGGCCACGATCTACAGTCAAGGATTGGTCGAGTGGAAGCCGCCGGCCATATATAAGTCATCCTGCGAGATCGACGTAGAATACTTCCCATTCGACGAGCAGACCTGCGTCCTCAAGTTCGGTTCGTGGACCTATGACGGCTTCAAGGTAAATTCGCATGGTAGCCGTTAAGTCGTGCCCTTTCTTCCCGACCAACCCCCTCGAGCCCTCCACTCCCACAATTAACTGAGCTCCCATTAAATTAGCCCGCCGAACGTCCGAGAGACGCGGATCCGACACGGCTCCGTACGGGATGCGTCTCCGGGGACGGCGATCAAATAGATCCTAAGCGTAGAGTAGATCAGAGACGATTGGCTCGTCGCGTTGGTCTCTAATGATCGAGAGAGAGAACACGAGTTCTGTAAATCACCCCAGAAGTCGGATGCTGCCATATAGCCCGAGATGACACGATCATATTTATTATGAGGCAGTGAATAATTGTAAATCAAGCATGACAATATTCAATCGAGTATTCTTTCAGAACAGTAGAACAATCAATATTATCTTTTTGATTAAAATCCTATTTCTAAAGAGAAAAACATTTAATCGCGTGATTTTTGCTTTCATCAAAGTAAAGTCATTTTTCGTTAGCAACTCCTCTCTCGAGTGAGGTTGAAACACGAATCCGCGTTATTTCCAAAGTCGATCTCGCGAGACAGTCGGATATATCGGATTTCCGTTTCGAAGTCTCTTCTGGACACAATCAGAAGAAACGTTTTGCAAAGTAGTGAACAGTGAAAGTATCTTAATAACGGTATAAACGTGAACAAGATTCGTTTTGTCGATACATGTGAAGTCGATATCAAAAAAGACTGAAGGATAGAGAGGGAACGAAGAAAAGAAGAAAGAGAGATAGGATGGCAGCATCCGGAGACCTTCTCTCCGAGCCAATCGTGATCACGCTCGGCTCGTTTCTTCGGTGATTCCAGCGCCGACGGGAACTACGAGGTGACGCTGATGACCAAGGCCACGGTCTACTATTCGGGATTGGTCGTGTGGCAACCGCCGGCCGTATATAAATCCTCCTGCTCCATCGACGTTGAGTTCTTTCCATACGACGTACAGACCTGTGTTTTGAAGTTAGGCTCCTGGACCTATGACGGCTTTAAGGTGCCGCATTACCACAACGCAACGAGCACGAGAACCGCAGTCTTCAAGCATTTAGTCTCGAGAATACTTGCTCATCATCGGTCTACTCTAACGTTATCCTTTAGCTCGTTTTCCATTTTGTGTTCTCTTTGTCAAAGAATGCCTCCTTGACACCCGTAATCGTTCCTGCGATGCGCTAATCTTGGACGTCACGTGATATATTTATTACGTATATTTATATTCATCCGTCTACGCATGTATACAGGGTGCGCCGGATACTCTGCATTCCCTGTATGTATTTCTTTACCAATTTGGACTTGATCTTATTTTAGAAAAAATTGAACAGATCCTTGTAATTATTCTTCAAATAAAAATTATTGAAATTGAATGAAATATGAATTATCGTTCGCGTGTGCACGATATAGTGCTTGCTTCTATTAACAATTTGAACTTTGTTAGTATTTTGAAATTGTCAGAGAGATCTACTCCAAATTGGTCGAGAAATTCGTAAATATAGACTAAAACAAGAATATGGGGCACCTGGGACACCCTATATATGTGTGCATATATTTGGATATTGTTACGTGGTGTGGACTGCAGTGTTATTTAATTGACCATCATTCCATCGTGGTACGACGCGTGGTCGGCTCATTTTCATATCGTTCTACATACGGTGTGTTCGAGAAATCGGCGGGCTCGCGAGTCACCTAAACGCATCCGTCAGTTGCGGCTCGTGTTTGCTGTCTAGGCGAGGATCGACGAGCTTATCCGATGTCCACTATGTCAGACTGTAATGGAGTGCATGTACGGGCTATTCGAGAGATTTACTGTTACATGTCGGATGGGATCGCACCGTCAACGTTTGTTTACCGATAGATCCTGTTGCACTGGATTTATTCCGTGATTAGAAAGATGTAGTAAATGAGATAAGAAAAGACTTCAACGCTCTTCATTTCTCTAACGATACAATATCTTACGTGTCATTGTATCTCTTATATTTTGAAAAATAACAAGTCGATACGCGCAATTAGTGTGAATTGATTTCTGCAAAGGTTACTTAAAATAAAGAGAATATAAGAACATGTTGTATATAATCACTAGTATATTGTTCTGACATTTTTGACAATCAATACGTTCAATTTATTATTTGATTGCCTTTTATTTTAACAAATCTTTCCTTTAGTATTCCTTTATCATAAAAATTTTATTTCGTAAATTTATAATAGTTATATAATATAGTAATGTTCATATCTATTCGTGAGTAATGTATCAGATTTATTATAAAAATATATTATATTTATTGTAAAAAAACTGTCAAATACGAAAAAGACATAATCTCTCCGATCCTCGCTTCGACAAAGAAAAAAAACGATACGTTGAAGATCCAAAGGATGTCTCGATCATGATACACACGCCGAAGGGAGCAAATATCTGCTTCTGGTCAGTCGCGCCTCGTTTTTTGCCATTTGCAATATTCAGCAGCCGAATTTGGAGAACGCTAAAGCCACGATTACGAAACTGTTGTCGATACGCCGGTTATGGATTCTAGCTGTTTGTTTCTCTAGCTTGTTCTCTTTACAAAACACAAGAGCGTCACTACTCGACACACGTGGGAAAGGTATAAAATGTCGCGACAAAAATCGGCACATCATGACACATGAAACGAAAAACAGCCACACGCATCCGGTTGTGCCAATACGGGGACACACTGTTTCTTCTTGTGCGGCATTTACAAGAATTCTCACTTCACAACAACGTCTACATTCGTCCACTTATCGCCAAATGTTCTAACAAGAACAAAACAGGAAGAAAATCACACAGCTTCTTGTGTAAATAGGAAACTATAAATCATTAAAAATAATTAGTGCGAAGTTTGAAATCTTAATCTGTTTTTTAACAAATTTTTTTTAAATTATGTATTGTTATATTTACTTCAATAAATTTACTATTCTAGGACGTTGATCGTTTCCTGTTTATTCAAGAGAGAAACACAACTTATTTTAAAATTTATTTTCACGCGAATAACGTTCTATTTCTTGCAACTTTATTGTCTAATAATAATTGTATACACAAAACTCTATTCTACAATATTCCTAAGACAATGGCCTAGTTTACACCCAGATACGATCTGACTTGTACCTTGACTATACATTAATCTAAAAGAGGTCTCGAACGGAGCATTTACCCCATTTATAATATTTTTGAACTTAATGTACGTTGCATTTAGTCTCACATGAGTGCCATCTACCAGTACTTCTTTATACTTTACACCTTTAGGCCGTCTGCCTGTTTGCATACGTTAAAGCTAATTAGGTCATGCGACCTAAGAAAAGAGGGATCTTGAAAAAGATCCCTCAGTCAAACGAGATTACAGCTATTTACACCGTCGCGATCTATCGCGTTTAGGTTAGATTTAAAGTATAGGTAGCGGCCTAAAGGGTGTAAACTAGGCCAATATAAAAGTACATTTTTACGAAGGATTGTAATCGAAGTGTATACAGTTGGGGTGGGGGAATCAAGAAAAGAAGTTTATAATTTATTTTGAAACAAAATAGATTGAATATATACGGATTCGTCCAATATTCGGTATTTAGTTTGATATCTATTAAACGAGCATTTAAACGGCGATCTGTTATTTTATCAATCGTATCACATGGACTCGATTGCTAATTTGACCAGCTGATACGGGTTGAGCGCGCAATTAAACGCGTCGACAACGCAATTTACTTGTCTAGACCGAGCCCACGGGAAAAGTAGGACGATCGAGACGCGATCGATACGACAAAGAGTCTCCAACCGCGCGCCACAGAGCTTTTTGAATTTTTCCTTCGTGATTAAAACCTTTGTGTCCGCTGCGAAAGGAATACAACTGTACGTAAAGTGTCTCCTTTTTTTAAGAACAATTTATTGCATTCTACTATGTTATATTAAAAGTCACTTAGCAGCAGAATAAATTCGGTATAAATTTCTAAAGCAGAAAAGACGCTTTTACAGCTTTTTGAAAAGACTCCAGACCATTATGCACGAGCTTTTGGATTGATATCAAGAAAATCTTTATTATTTCTCGTTTCAAATAGCAATTTCAATTAATGCACTTTTTAATGTTCAAATACAATTTAAGATGTTTTAAACTACCATGTAAGGCATTGTTTTTAGTCACGCTATATGAAGCATGATTAATTAAAATATATACTATAATTCTATAATTTTACATTATATCGCATATTTGCAATTTTACCATGCGCTTACAAGACAAGGCTTACGAATCTACGATTATAAAGATAATAATTATTAATATCGCGCTCGCGCCAAACAATTTACGAGCTCAGACATAATACAGTCTACGTATATGTTTATTTAGTGCGTGTGTGTCCTCTTTGATCCACTGCTCATTCGTTCAAGTTCCGCACGTTCCCATGGCTACATCGTTAAAACTTTCCGTTGCAGAATTTCCACGCTTTTTGCAGCGACGCATTGCTCGTTAGTCCAGCCAATCGGATTATACGAGGCTTGCGCTAACTGAAGCGCTATATTCCGCAGGACAAATCGTCGTATTGTATCTCGCAGACCGATAAAACGATACAACAGACACATATCCCTTCGATAACGAGGCTTACTCAATTCCAATTTACAATCTTTATAGTTAAAATTTTTCCAAGGCCACCAAATATTTTTTGACATTCAATTGATTGTATAATTCGAAAACTATTCGCAACTCTTGTTCACGGAAAATCAATTCGACAAATTGCGTAACAATGAGAAAAAAATACTTGTGAACGTGCACAGTTCGCAGTACTTCATTCACGCTCGTTTATCGGACAATTCCAGTCGTGCATCGCGAGATAATACGACTTTTCGCGTATCGTCTCTCCGTATTCCTCCTGCCAGCATGCTTTATTGCTACGATAAAGAATGGATCAATATTTCAGTGCACGTACGCGGCTTCTATGCGCTCATTCCCGCGCATACCTATGCCAATCGAGTCGGCTTCGTCTCTTCTGATGTCACCAGATGGTACATAAAATAAAGCTCAAGTTGCAAAACGAGATCGGGTGGCGGCTGATAGATCTAACGTTCTAATATAAAATTGCGAGTGATTCGCCTCCGCTCACAGCGTTGTGACCCTCGTGAATTGACCAGCTGCTACCATTTTCTTGCCATAAAGGGCTGCGCCCAATCAAAGGAATAGGGAACTAGGAATAGAGAATAAAAATTTCTATCAGATATCATGTACTGTGGAGTTCAAAGTTTCTGATAGCTTGAAATTTTTATTCTCTGTAGCATTTGGGAAATACCTCGAAAATTAAGCAAGAATGTTGAAATTTGAATAAAAAATATATATATTTGTGTTCAATTTTTTAAGTGTTTCCCAAACGTTACAAACTTTGTAATAATGTTATTGTATCCATGACATCAAAATTTACAAAAAAAAAACACTATTATTTTAATTACATCTTTAAATGAAGAAAATTAGAAATTTCCTTTTTAACATTCTCCTTATTAATGTTTCGAGTAACATTCATACACGCACAAAACGCGATCGTTCTGCCGACCTTTTACTCAATACATAGGGAACCTGTGTAATTATATGGTGGCGCATAATATCGAACAATTTGCACATTGCATAAATAAAATAGTTGCACGGGGTCAGTGCGCTCCCTCGTCCGCGTGACCCATCAGCGAATAATTTGGCTGTTCGTTCTATAATGACGCCATTAATACTACATCGCGGCACGATATCAGTATGCTCGATAATGATTCGAATATACGAGATGTATCGCACAAATAGAAATTCTAATATGTCAGAAAAATATTTGAGGCGTGAAAATATCGCGTGATGTATAATATATAATGTAGTTTATTTTATTTTAAAAAAATACAGACGTATTATGATTAACACGTTCCGTTGTATAACTTTGTTATGCTGATAATAATTACGACTTGGTTGTTTCGATTAATCTGCGTAGGCCGGTTTCGCGTGTTCATAATAAAAAAGTATATATGGATGAACTGCACGTTAC